TTAGAGAGTATCCCAATTCTATCCCTGTAATTTGATAAAAAGCACACTCTTTTAAAAGAAATGTTGACCTTAGTTAATTAGAATTGCAAACCAAGCATTGAATAAGTTCTGAAGATAAATTAAAGCTACTGTATATTATAATTGCATTTTAGTTTGTGGATAATGTTGAGCTAAAGCGGCTTACATTTTTCTTAAATCTTAGCAGGATTACTTTTGGAAATACTGATATCAGAAATTAAGGTTTCATGTATAGGAATCAATTGGAGAAGTCAAGTTTTGCAAAGTACAGTACCTAATCTCACCACTGCCGAAAAATGTTACGATTTTTTAAAACGGCTAATTTCTATCTAAAAGAAACCGCTCAACTCCGCAATAATTTGTGATTTAGATTGAATTCAATTTTGTACCCAAATAAATCCTCATCATCCACAATGGGGCTTGTAACAATTAGTGCAGATATAGAGGTCTCCACTATATCTTAAAAAACATCTTCATACCATTAGAAGGACAAAAGAGTTTGAAAAACAACTGTTTGCAACCCAAAGGTTTATAAAATGGCTCAAATTGGATCTACTGAACATCCATTTCCACCTGCTTCGGAACTGTTGGGTAAACAGTTATAGCAAACTGCTTGCCAATTTCTACACTCTGCTCTACAGTTCAATACTCATGCTATAAAATTTCATTGACTGGAAAATGATGTAGCCTTAAACTGCTAAACCAAATGGATTTTATAGTAACATACTGGGCCATTTGCTACCAGTAAATAAGAAAGCTTTGAATTGGTCACTAAGCATGTGAGTGGATCTTTTACGGAAACCAATGTGTGATGGGAATGCAAGCCTTACTGATGAATTTAGGATACAAGAGAATGCTTTAGAAACATTAACGTAACAAATGATTAGAAGGGAATTAATTTCGTAACAGGATGAGGTCAGGTATTTTAAGTAATCCCAAATCCAGTCCTCAGGAAGGATTTAATTTTTTCAGGCGTAACGTTAGGATTAGGATGCAAGCAACCAGAGGGGCTGACAACTGCTTATTCTGCAAACTCTACCACTACAGAAATGTAAATCTCAAAACTTTAAAATCTGGAAATATTTACCACCAGAATATTTAATGGGATAGGCTTTAATGGGTAAGTTTATAATGCAATGGGAAACCCACCTAAATTGGGGCCTTTGGTCACCTTCCTCCCCCTCCTCCTGGCTCGGCCCCAGGATCCATTACCGTGAAGCGCTCTGAGACCCCGTCGGGCGTGGAGGCACTAATATAAATCCAAGTTGTTGTTGTTATATTTAACACAGATACAAGATCCTTGGATGTGATCCACCTATAAAGAAGATCTAATGAGCTACCACAAGTGGATTAAAACTAGTAAGTAAATTTCCTATTTAAAAAAGTGTTAGAATATTGCAATTACTGGATATTTCTCCAAGAATGTTAAACTAATTTCTAAATTTTACAAGCTGTTTGGTTAGCAATTTAATCATTTAATAAAAAGTCAATACACATCCTCTTTGCCACTGTTACTTCATAGCGTATTTAGAAAACAAGTCATTTTTTGCTCACAAAATATAATTAATCCTCTTTACAATATATTGTGGGAACCTCTTTAAGACGTCTCAACGACATGATAAGGCACTATATCAAATGCAATGATTATTATGTGTGAAACAGCACACACATCATATACAAGTTTACTTAAATAGGAGAAATTGTAATACTTTGAGTATTATTTAATTATTACCTTCAGGTCCTTTTTAGTAAACATACCCTGAATAAAACGGTCCAATTAAAATGTGTCCACTGTATTCCTGATCAAGTTATTTTCAGGCTTTTATCCATTTCATTAAACTGGAGCAACAAAGCTAATTAACATGAACCATTATTTTCTCTCTCCATAGTTTCAGACACAATCACAAAACTTAGGAGATGAATATTTTAGATTACAGCAAAAACATTTAAATCAAGCCCTTACAACACACTTTTTGTTTTCCTCCATACATCCTTAATTGAGTACCTCCAGGACTCTCAACTGTATTAACAATAATAATCCTTGCATTAATCCTGAAATGTAAAGACAAATTAAAATAGTACTGTTAAATTGAAGTCTATTAAGATTGAATAAGTCAGCCCCAATCATTTTCAATTTAGTCCTTACTAAACACCTGTATTCAAGTATAATTTTTTAAACATCCTTCAGGCAGAACCCATGGTAACTAACTTTCACAATAACACACCTATGTTAAGATCAATTATTCAGATTTAGTATTACTCTCAGTATTCAGACTCAGAAACCTTTAAAATCATTAAGGAAAAGGGAAGAAGCTTATACCAAATACAGCCAATTTAATTTAAGATCATTTAGGGGGAATTTCTGCATTATTGCACTTGTAAGCAGCATATCGAAAATTGGGTAATTAATTCTGGCTAGACCCGGCATTCCTGATCTAAAGTAGATTTCTAGACGTCACCATAGAGGCAGGAAAAGTGAATTACGATGGAAGGCTTTCTGCTCAAGAGCTTAGTGGATGATGCATGCATCACAGTGAGAGGAAGTGTACATCAAGAAATTTCAAATATTATTTTGTCATCCATTTAATTTACTGTCTTTAAATTTTGATGTATATCATGTCATATCATGAGTGTGAGTTCCTCATACACCATGCACTGTTTCTTATGGGATGATCTGAAGCTTCTCATAATGCCACGATAAGCAGCTGTTATGCTGGAACAGTTTTCTCACCAAAGAGTTCTTGATCAAATGTTTGAACAGTTGTACCTCAGCCCTGAGATGATATTTCACTTTGTATTTTTCTAGATTGGCTTTTCAATGGACAACATAGGTTTTTTTTTGTGTGATAAAAAAAGTTTCATTTACTTTTACTCTACAAGTTTGTCTCCAGGGGCAGGTTTTCCCAAGCTACAACTTTAGCTCAGTTTAATTCAGTTCAGGTTGAATAGCTCACTCCGATGGGAATCGTGTGTTCCCTCCTTTGGATGACTCGTTAAGTCAAAGTCGCGTCAGCCTATTCAGGTAATTTAAAGACGCCTCGGGCGTATTCAAAAAAAGGGAGTTTCCCCTGTGTCTTGGGCAACACCCCACCCAAATAAAATTGGTCATTCATTTCTTGGATGCCTGTGCAACATTGCTGTGTGCAGAGGCTGCTGCATTCACATAATCGTTATATGTTAAAAGCACTCGCAGATGTCGACAATGTTATAATGCAAGAAACTGTATCAAATGCTAGAACTATTAATTAAGAGATCAGTCTCGTTCGTCCGGTTTCTTAAAAAATTAGATAGGTTGAGTGAGCAAATCCCAGCAGCATATTGTGGATGCAGATGTCTCAACATCATCATGCAAGCATCACAATGACAGACCTTCAAAAATTCACAATAACCACTGGGATAATTTTTATGATAGCCAAGCAATGGCAACACTAAAAAGGAAGCAGTTGTCTGATGGTTAGGTTCATCTCCCAGCCTCTGCTATAGTTGTTTGAGTAGCAGAGTTCACACAAAAGTATTGGCAGTTCACACGTAGATGAAAGCTTGATATTATTTAAATCAAACTTCAGTTTAATAAATTTGTATTTGATTACATTGGCTATAACTTGCATCAGCAAAATATGACTGAAGAAACTGCATTACTAAAAGCTTATGCATTAATGCAGGTACATTAGATTCTCATTACTCATGACTACTGAGACACCAGACGGGATATACTTCCAAGTTTCTTTAATGTGAATTGTCGATCCATCAACTTAAATAGTTCTTCAAAAGCATTTACTAATTGGAACTAATTAAAGGCAAAAGAACAAATTCATAATGCCTTGCTGTACGTATCATGAGTACGTAATTAATTACTGTTCATCAGTAATCTGAAGGACTGTTGTGCATTCTACACTTAAGCTTTTTTTGTAAAGTCAGTTTTCACCTGCACAGATTAAATCTTTTCTAAAGAGCTCCTTCATAGCTAAGAACCATTCAGTGGTTTAATACTGATTAACATCCATTCTTTTTACCCCAATGAAAATATCAGTAAAGATATTTCATCAAAGGATAATCAATCCCCTCATATCGAGGCAGGGTGATCCATTGGTCAACATACAACTTTACTTGGCCAGTGTGCACACCAATTTTTAATTAAGAACCTGTTCTCCTGCTGTTGCTATAATAATTGCTACCATCTTCTGATTAAGCAGACTCCGTGAAAGATTAGAATTCCCTTCCCAAAGTCAGAAGAGGCTAGGTACATTAGTAAAATATTGAACAGAATTTCAAGAGATTCTTTATGCAGATAATAATTTTATTTTAGTTAAAGCTACTAAACAAAGTATTTTACATTGCATAGTTTCCTTTTTTTAAAGGAGAGAAGAGCCACCATATAACATGGTTGGACTGTATACATAGAAAGAAAAATGGAAACTCCCGAGAATTTTAAAACTAAAGGATGTAATGCACTAAATCACCAGTCAAATGTCTCCCCACTTTAGCTCATAGCATCACAAAAGTTGCAAAAACGCATACAGCGATCAAGAAAGATCAGAAAGGTTAGAGGGTTCTCGTTGGAGGTAAGATAATTCAGAGGGGACCTGATAAAAGTGGTTGATATTATGAAAGGATTCAATAAGGTGGACATTAATATTCAACTTGTTGGCGAGCCCAAAAATGTAAGATAGCCAACAGCACATTTTGAAAGAGCTTAAGAGGAACTGCGTTACTCAAATGGTGGATAAGAATGTGGAACTCACTGACAGTAGGTACAGTTATTCATTACTTCAGTATGTAACTTAAACACTCCATTGGTTGCATCACTCATTTTTGGCAATGAATGTCTTGGTGGAAATTAAGTTCTCATTCATCATATCAACTTAATTAAACACAAGCAATCCCAACTAATTAAACTAAATAGGAAATCAAAATGCCAGAAAATGTATTGCATAGTTAAATGTTACCAGTTACAATTAAAATAATTAAAATAGTAAACTTACAGTGCGAGCACATTTCCAGAGGATAGCTTGATTCATTGCCCTGAAATTAAGCGGGAAAAGAAAATTATAATTCATGTAACTGAAAAAAAGTACAATTGTAAAAGGTCAGAGAAAATGTAGACATCTTAACTAATCCCTAATTCAAAAAAATAAAAAGTAAACATTACATTAAGTTACAGTATTTTAAGTATTGAACAGCGATCATATGAAGCACTCCAATTACTAGCACACCAGTTTCAACCAACATTTTAGGGTTCACAACTATATAATCATGTAAAAGTACAGTAACAAAGAGAATCTGTTTTGGTATGTTGTACCTTTGAGGAAGTCCTTCTTGCTTTTACAATAATTCAGTTGTAACACATGATCCTTTCTTCACATCCCATATTACATAAGACGCAATTTGTTTAATCATGCTGCTCCACTCATTAGATACCGGCTAATATGGAGTGGTTACACAGAGCAGACAAGAGTGAAAACATGCTAATTCACTAGAAGCGATCCCTTAAAAAGCTCTCTACCCCCACCCCACCATGTACTTTACAATATCTCATTCTGAATTATGCAGAGTACTTTTGACTAGTGGTGGCTATACAGATTCAATGCAACAATGAGCTATTTGTGCAACTTCAGCTCGTAACTTTTAAAAGCCTGTTTTTTCCCCTCCACATAATAATCCTTGCATTTGATATAGCACCTTATCACTTCTTCGAGACATCTCCAAGTGCTTCATGCAATAAAGTGAATTGACCATATTTGGGGGGGGCAAAACACAGTAGCCAATTGCGCATAGCAGTGTCCCACAAACAGTCGGGGGATTAAGTGACAAAATTATTATTTTTTTAAAGGAATTATTATCTCCGGAAAAACAATCCACCAATCGACTAACAAACGGTTCCTACTTACTGCTAGGTAAACAGAGGCATGGGGTAACGAAACACGTCCAACATTTTGCCCTTCTGGGAATCGAACCCTGGTTCTCTCGCTTGCGAGGTGAGTACTCACCACACATGTGATGCACTCGTTTTCCTCATTGACAGCTATCTAAGTAACAGTAATGTTGACCAAGGAGATGCCTGAACATCAGACACCTGTGCTGCCAGGCTATCCCCAACTTCTACAACCTCCACTTACATAGTGGCTAATGAGGAAAACAAATGACAGATTCTTAGTGCACATGTATAAAGCAATAATGCCTGTATCTGTACAACTCTATTAAGTCACGAGTTTCTGAGCAGCCAAGAAATCTTGCAATAATCAAGACATAATTGAATAATTGGAAGTAGATGCATATTTATCCTGTAAGCCAAAGAACGAACAATTAAGGCAGTTCTAATTAAACAAATGCTGTGGCTGCTATGATCAGCTGGATCAAGGCAGCAAAACCATATAGTTTAGGTAGTGTTCTTATAGATAATCTTCAAAGGTAATCCTCCATGTTGTGTCAAAGAGTAACTTTCTGAACAATTAAATTGGACTTGTAGAGTAGGACCCCCAGTAGATTCAAATTCATAATTATAGCTGGCACTAAGTACTTGAGGGAGTCTTGCAATATCAGCAATGCTTTCCTTTTGATGGACATTAAATGGACGGCTGCCCGTTCTGTTAGTTTAAGTCAATATTAAAACTCCCATGAATAAACTCCAGCCATAACCAATGCATACATTACGGACCCTGAACCTGGGTACTTGCCAGCCTTTGCCTAACTTCTCCCGGGAATAGGCAAGCAAGCTGCATCCCTCCAGGGAGTGTGCATTCCATTCCAAATTACAGGTACAGGTGGGATACATGGAGTTCACTTTGGTTTGGATATTCCCCTTCAGTCTATAGCTTAACACTGTTTAAATGGCAGCACCCAGTACATACTTATAGTTTCAAACAGTAGTCAACCTGCTGTGCTGAGCATTCCAACATGGAAAACATCGTTGAAAGCGATGGTTTAATAGTTTAAATACCGTGCTAGGATAGTGCTTTTCCATAAATACGTTTAATGCTCAATTTAGTGTTCCAAAAAGACTGGTATACGAGTTTGCTGTATCCCAACATCCTTCAGGAATGTTGAAAAATCTAAACTCACAGCTAGATTACAACATCAACGGTTGATCTCATTATTATCAGAGTTCACTAAAAATACCTGAAACCTATACACATATCTACACAACATTCCTCTTTTTAAATGTAGACCTAACTTTGTATGCATGTACTTATTATTAAGTGCACTATCAAGTCTTTCAAGAGGATCCTCCTTCAAACCTTTTCATTGCAAATATAATACAATGTACACTTCATGCCCCCATACTCAGAATGACAGTACATCATCACAAAAATAGAGCATCTACAACTTTAATTAAAAAGTGCTTATTTAAGGTCATTGCTCCCTTTTGCACAATAGCACAATTTCCAAAGTTAGATCTGTTTAAGCATAAGAACCACAGTATTTCTGATAATTAAAAGAGGTCAAAACACTAATTATAGCAATATTTGTACAGTAACAAAAGTAGTATCATGGAATGAAAATCTAGATGTATTCTGGAAAGAGTAAGGGAAATTTAACCAATTTACCTATTACAAAAATGTGACTACACATCTAACTATTTCACTCCATAAGAATGATTGGCAATTCCACTAATAATATTAGCGAGGATTCCAACCTGTGAAACAAACACACCTGAAAAGGGATAAATTAACAAGTTAAATACTGTGCTGGGATAGCACAGCTTTAAACTGCACGTTTCCAAGAGTTTGCTTGATGTTCTGGAGTGTCTTATAAGTCTGCTCGTCTATCCACGAATTACATTAAACGATCATACTGCAAAAGGGGATAGAAATGCATAAAAGATCCACTTACTGCTGCAATTTCAGGTAAGCAATCTTGAAGTGCACTCTGGAAAAACTGAAAAGCACTGTAATGGCAAAAGTACCACAATTTCTTGAATTTATTGAACGATAGGATGTTTTTAGTAAAATACAGAATTTTTAAAACCACTCAAGTCAGCAGGCTAACCTTCCAGATATTTACTCATTCCAACTGAAATGCCTTAATGCTCAAAGGCCAGAACCTGATCATGAAAAAGACACCTCATGCAATCTATCTCTCAATTTGTGACTTGCCTATAAACCTATTTTCCACTAAGAGTAAATAGGAACCATCAATAATCGAATCTCACACTCACAACCACATTAATTTTCTCTCCAATAAGTATTCACAAGTGTCTCGCTCAAATATTGCCAACCTGGTGTGAACACTGCATTTGTGTTACAACATTAAGACACAATTGTGGACACAAAATAGCACTAGTTTCTTGATTTAAACAATTAAACCTGCCGTTTAACAGTAGAAAAAAAACATTGGAAGCAGACTAACTGAAGTTAACCTGCAGCAGATTGTTCTCAATTCTAGAAGTTAAAGCACAGATCACATTTGGATTCATAAAGTGATAGAATAGAATAACATAGATCTATGCCATTTGGGCCATCAAGTCTGCTAAAGTGCTTTTCTCCACAAGAGCTCCTTATCAAATCTCGACTTCCTACCATTAATATTTCCCTTTTTCAAGAACCAATTCCAGTTTTTAAAAAATTACAATAATACTTATATTTGATGTAGCGCCTTATCACGTCTTTAAGACATCTCAAAGTGCTTCACAGAATATACTGTAAAGTGATTTGACTGTATATTTTGTGGGTGAAACGCAGCGCAAAGCAGTGTCCTGTAAACAGCTGTGGATTTAGTGAACTAATTATTATTTTGTTATTTTTTGAAGGAATTATTACCCCCGGAAAACCGATCCTCCAATCGACCAACAACCGGGTTCCTACTTACTGCTAGGTAAACAAAGGCGTGGTGGGGAAGGAAACTTGTGCAGTTTCAACTTTTTTCAAAAAAAAAGTACTTTTAGAAACTACAGGAAGTTATTTCTATTTCAACTTTGAGACAAATTTGCAACCAACAGCTGTAAAATACTTCTTACTCAAAATAGCTCCACAATTATCTCTTTCCTGTCTTCGTACAAGTGCATGTATTTTAAAAATATTCTATTTTCTTCATCAGAAAAGAAAACATTTACAAATTGGACTCTTTTGCACCTTTAGTGTTTCTGTGTTATATCCAAACCCGCAATGTACTGAACAATATCCTTGCATTTGGTGGACCCGTACATCCTTGCAGGTTGCAGAAAATGAGAGCTAATGTTACTTACAAGCATCAATATTACTGACCAAATAATTATGTTCTCAAAGAAACTATTACCATTTTCTACTGCAACATCAATGTTTAATTCACAACTAAAACCAGGCAAAAAAGGCTAAATTTAACTTGAAGATTTAATTTGAAGATTTGGTTGGAACTAAGTCACAACCGAAAGCATAAGCAAATCAGTCAATTCACAAATATTAATTTTAGAGGCACCTGAGAAATCAAACTTAATATTGGCTCAGCATTGGTGAATAATTTAATTCAGTTTTCAGTAATATAAAGTCAATCTTAATTGGTTTTCAGATTAAGATCTCCCTTTCACTAAATGTTCTCTTTTCATATTGATCAGTGTTTTTTTTTAAAAAGTGATAATAATCCTTGCAAATTTATGCAGCATCTTACCATACAAACACCTCAAAGCGCTTCACAGGATTTACTATAAAATGTAGAGACTCTGCATTGGAGTTTCACAATTGGAGCAGAATTTTTGCTGCATTTCTAATGTATACAACATATATCCTTTACTACTTTTAAGTGATATTAATAATAATCGTTGAATTTGATGTAGTGCTTTTCACATCTTCCAGACATCTCAAAGCGCTTCACAGAATATACTGTAAATTGAATTGACTGCATTTTTGTGGGCGAAACGCGGCAGCCAATTGCGCACAGCAGTGTCCCACAAACAATCGTGGATTGAAATGACCAAATTATTATTGGTTTTTTTCTTGAGGGATTATTATCAGGCATGTGGAGCAAAGAAACTTGCCCAAGGTTTCGCCCTGCCTGGAACCAAAGCCAGGCAAAGTTTACATTTTTACTATTTAGAAAATTTTGAATTTTTT